TGATATTGAAAAAAAAAACATAAAGGCCTATTCAAACGTAAAATTTTTCGATCTTTTCAAATCTGAAATAAAAAATTGGGGTTACCGTGTAAAAACTCGACTTTGAGTTACTGCAGCTTTTAGGTTATGTTCTAGGTCAAATTCAAGGTCACCATTGAAAAGAGCGAAAAATTTTACGTTTGATTAGGCCCTAATGTTTTTTTCTTATATCATTTTTGGGGGCACTACAGTTATAAAATGAAGTTCTTACGAGCTTAATTTTAGGTTAAATCGGGGTTTTATTTGAGCCTGTAGCGCCCTTAAAATGGTCTTTAAAAAAAAAACAAAACATACACTTTGACGTGAAATTTTCCGCTCTTTTCAAATCTGCATTAAAAAATGGGGGTTACATTTGAAAAATTGATTTTTGAGTCGCTGCAGCTTTGAGGTTATGTTCAAGGTCAAATTCAAGGTCACCATCGGATTCCTCGTCGAAAAATACGTCGGATATAGGATCTTTGATTTTTTTTTAACGAATATTCTGCGATACTTCCAGGAGTTTCCATACTTTCGTCGCACCCTGTATACATTATAAATGGTTATTTGAAGAACATTCAGTTAAATTTTCAGCTGAAAATAGTGAAAAATAAGCTAACTACAGCAAATTATCTCGCACAACTGAAAAAAAAGATCGATTGCGGTTGACACTGTAATTGAAAATCTACTCGATCGACCGATTCTTTCCAAATTTTTCTCACTATTTATCTACATAAATTATGAGGTCATGACGTCGAGATATTTTGTTTAAAATGATTTTTGAGATTTTGGCATCATTTCGAAGTGAAAAAAAATGACTTTTTTGACAAAATTAAGGCAAAAATTCATCGTACTTGTTCGTAAAAAGCATTTAAAAATGTAAAAAGTTAAAATATCTCGACGTCATTACCTCATATATCATCTACTTAAATAGTGTATAAAATATGAAGAGGATCGGTCGAGTAGATTTTGAGTGATGGTGTCCACCGGATTTTTTTTACGTTGCATGTGAAAATTTGCTGTAGCCAGCTTATTTTTCAGTATTTTGGGCTGAAAATTTAACTGAATATTCTTCAAATAACTATTAATTATGTGTATGATTTATAGATCAATTCGATTTACTATGTGTTCAAAAAAACAAAAAAGTTTTTTTTTGAAATTTAGTCAAGACCCTACGCCCCCCCCCCCTTAAATAAAGTGTAAGCACCATCAAAAGGCTCTGTGAGATTATAATTGTGAAAATATTCTAATGTAGTGAAACAAAATTTAAAAAAAATATTAGTTTTAGGTGAAAATTATGGTTTTAACTTATTGGATAGTTTTGCTAGAAGTTAAATTTTTTAGAGGTTTCTGAATTTCGCAAGAAAAGCATCAAATTAGGGTCGCTGAAAAAGGGTAATGGACGATTCAAAAAATTCTGAAAAAATCCAGACAGATTCTTTTAAAAATTTCAAGACTTTTGATCTGTGCATTTTTTGTTTAAGTGTTCCTATCTTGATATAGAAAATCTCAAAGATTTTTAAATAAAATGGAAAACTCCTTTTAAAATGGGACCCAAAGGCCCATTCAATAAAACTAAGCATAATAGGGACCTTTATTATTAGGTTTCTCGAGATCCTAAAGAAATTTTGGTGAAGATCCGTGACCCATAAGTGAGAAGGTGTCCTTGTAAGTGTAGAATTAGAGAATTTGATCGTATTATATAACAGAATAGGGCAATTTGCCAATCATTGCTCAATATGAGGAATACGTATATTTATCAACATTTTGAGTCATAAAATAAAAAACTCTGAATTTCGGGGGCAGCAAGAATTGTTCTAATATATTCAGAGATAAGACCGAAAAATATAATTTGAAGAAAATTCTAATCATACCTTTAGGGTTAAATATCCAGTTAACGACCGAATTGTTGTTTTTCAGCGTTAGAAAAAGTAGAAAAAATGAATGATTGCGTTTAGAAAAACAACTGAATAGATCATGGCGTAGCTAATTAAATATTGAACCGATTAAAAATACAAGTTGTAATGTTATTAAAAATAATGATTTCACGAGTCACCTCGAAAACGCCTGTTAACCACTTCCAGAAAATATCTCCAGCGAATGACTGGGCAGCGTCTAGTAAATGACCGATATACTCTCGTATAAGTTTTTATCAAAATTAAACACTACCCTTTGTTTAGATAATTAAATCTAATCATAGATCCTCGTTACTTGTTCAGTGCTGGTCGAATCAGTACCATTTAAATTGATTATATTCAATAATCAGTCGAAGTAGATTAAGGGCAAAACTAATCTGTACACTATTGTACGCGCAAAGAAGTGGTAGTTAATTAGCTGTATGCCAATTGACGCCTTGTCAAGTTAATGACCGCAAAAAATTTTTCAATACTTGTTTATTTATAGTTAATATAATTTATATGGGTCGAAAATTGAGTCTAACTGAAGGTATAACATTGCTCAATGTTACACAAACATTATAAATTAGATTAAAATTAGTATATTCAATTTAGAGGTAATTATACATCAAGTGGTCATAAACCGTTATGTGGTCAGAAACTTGGCAGTTTACTCTATATCAATGTATAAAAATTTTATATTTTATCAAAATCACAAAAAATTGCATCGGAAGTTAAAATATAATCAAGCTCTCATATGAATAAGGAAAAAATGCCTGTCGAGAGTTAGCACTTTATCGAAATTTTAAAAAAGTACAACGAAAAAATGCTTGAAGTGAAGCTTCAGAGTCCTTTTCCTTGGTTGAATCTTTGTTTTTTGATTGAATTTTTGAATTATTTTGAAGAAGAAAATAATTTAGTAGTACCACACTTCATCACACTTATAAGTATGTACACACAAAAGGAGGGGTCTAAAGACTGTTAATTCATGGGCCAGATTCGATATTTGAATCTTCATAAAACATCACACAACTATAACTTTGCTGTTACTTTTTACTCTTTAAGGCTACATGTTTGACCTTGATTTAACACTTTATCGCTCAAAAGCGTACCGATTTTGGTGCCGACTTTCAACGCAATTTTTCCCATGTCATCGGCCATTGCAGAATTTTGTAAACATAAAAATACTGTTATGACCCCTTTCGGGTCACCATATTGTCGTGAGCAGAGTATAAGAGAAAGTATAAATGAAGAATACGCTTTGGTTTATTTTGTGTTGCATATATTTATTAATTATGACACTAAGCATTTACCTAAAACGAAAATTATACATAAAATGATATGAAGCTTGATCCTGGATGTAGTGAATGGCTGGATCTCGATGCACAGATGCGTGACGGTATAGCGGGCCCCAGTGCCTAATACGCAGTTGCGCACTTCCAAGTATCGTTTCTGGTCACTCGGCGTACCGCAGGTTTAGTGGCTAGTGGAGTAATGCACGGTGTTAGTGAGATGATTTCGTGAGCATAATCGATGCATTATGATCGTCAATCCAGTTGAAGGGGGATGATTATACCTATTATCACCTTTCTGGAATACAACCTTAAGATGTACCCTGAGAGAATCAAAATGATCCTTGGCTTTTAACGAAAAGTATCCCAGCTGAATAGTTTCACCCTTATCATGATGGAGAACTCAATTACCTGCAGCTTCTAGTAGGTGAGAAGAGTTGTTTATGGGATTGCTTTGAAAACTAGATGTAAAACGATTCGTTTCGCAGCAGTAAATGAAGGACGCCTGTTTGTATAAAATACGCTTCAATAATAACAATAGTATACAACTTAGCATAAGCAGAGCCCCTTATTCACTGCGTTTTCGTTTCCTGCTGTGAAACGGATCGTTTTACATCTAGTGTACACCAGCGGACTTAGATACTGGCACCTCGAAAATTTGCGATCGATTAGTCGCTTCCTTCACATTTTTTAAACAACAGCGCGAGACTACAGTTTCACGACGTGCATTGCACAGTGAAGGAAGCGACTACTCGATCGCAAATTTTCGAAGTGCGAGTATCTAAGTCCGCTGGTGTACGTTTACCTTGTTTTTGTGTGTGATTAGGTACAGTATAGGCAACATTGCGTGTCATAACAATGGATACAAAAGTAGTTGTAGCTTACTGAACAATAAACACGTTAAGATTGTTAGAAAAATCGGTTTCGGCAATTTTTTTCGCCTTGTTGTATAAAATTCATGATAAATTTGATCACGGGAAATCACTATGGTAAAAGCATCTCAGGAAATTTTTAAAGAATTTTGAAATCACTTTTTTTAACAAAATGGAAATAAAAACGCAAAAAGGTTTTCGAAAAATCAACTAATTTTTTTCTTGAAAACTATTGAGCTTCAAGAGATTTTTCCGTGATAATTTTTAAATATTCGAAAAATTCGGAAAATTGAATTATTCAAAATCAGTATAAAATGTATTAAAAAAATTTAAAGATGTTTCTAAATTAGTTTTTTGACATTTTTTTAGTCTAACTTCGGTCACTTCGATTAATTAAAATTGTTCTTCCAGAGTCTAATAGTAAAATAAGATTAGTCAATTCAGTTACTAATGTGCCTATTCAAATATATAGAAAGATAAGTTAGCTAAATTGAAAAAGTTGATAAAAAAGTCAGCGGTGGACATTAGATGTTCCTTATAACAACGCTGATGTCACTGTATAAGATGTTTTTAATGAAAATTTCCGCATAATAGCATAGCATTACCTGAATCATAAAAAAATTGTTTACCTTTAGAATTGTTTACCTTTACCACAGTCACAGATAATATTAATTTTTTCTCAAATCATTGAAAAAAAAAAACGTTCAATAACAATGACGTTTTTGAGCAACTCTGATAAATTATAAGTATTAGCAAATGTATCATATACATTATTGATTAATGTCATAAAATATAATTTACAATTACTAATGTCTTCATGACTTTTTTTTAAATGATTACGGAAATTCAAAAACATGTTTGTATAAATACGCTAAAGAATAATAAAGCATTATATAATAATATTTTCATTATTTAAAATTACTCACTTGTATGCCAAACTGCATGCAATTGTCAAAATGGGATCCAAGCATTTCAAAACTACTGCATAGAGTAACATTTTACCCAAACGTGGTTCTATAGGCAAATCAAGAAGATGACATCCCAGTTCAGTTACATCTTCCCAAGGATCTAATGCATCAATTGTTTTTAAGAATTGCACAGCGTTTCTTGTTACAATATTGGAAGGCGGTTCTATAGCTTTTTCCAAAAATTCAGCTATAGGTGTATTGGTAGATGTTAATTGTTTCGAATAAAGACAAAGTTCATGTAAAGGCAATCTTAAAATTTCTGGTGTCTGATATAATTGCATATAATTGTATTGAATAGATGAGTATAATCTATAACAAACACCTTTTTGGCATCTGCCAGCACGCCCTTTTCTTTGCTCAGCACATGATTGTGAAATCCAATTTGCACGAAGAGTTGAAATACCAGATATAGCATCAAATGATTTTTCTTTTATTTTACCAGAATCAATAACATAAACGACATCTTCAATAGTAATACTAGTTTCTGCAATATTAGTAGACAATATGATTTTTCTTGATCCTTGGTTGGTTGGTTTGAACACCCTTTTTTGATCACTGGTTTGCATATTAGAATGTAAAATAAATAAATTGTATCTACTAGCTTGGAGTAGTTTACTCTCAGCAATTATTTTCTCTTTCATTGTTATTATATCATCATAACCTGGTAAAAATATTAAAATCGATCCAGTAGACGTATTTAAATGAATATTTAAAAGTAACTTCAAAATTAAATCATAATTGATAACTTCACTATTATATATTTGATTATAAACCTCTAATAACCGTTGACTTTCATCAACAAAGGTACAATTTTCAGATTGCAAGTTATCATTTTTTACTAACATTGAATCACATTTCTTCACATGCATTTCAATTAATTGAATACATGCAGATTGATTCATATTCTGAGCCCAATCTAATGCTGTCCAGTTATTACAAGATCTCAAATTCAAGTTTGCTCCATATTTTAGGAGCTTTTCTACTACTTTTGTTGATCCTCTGCCAGCTGAAATCATTAATAATGTAACAGAGGTATGAGAATGTTGATAGTTAATTGATATATTTTCTGAGTGCATCAAATTAAGTATTTCAATGAATTCACTTTCTTTTCCTGATAACCATGCTTTATTTATTAACTTATCCAATTCTTCAATAACCCAATAGTCTAATTCAATTTGATGGGATTTAAATTCATCTTCTTTCTTTAAAGTTACTAAATGATGTTCTTTATTACTGCTAAGAAATAACTTTTCTTCATTGCAAGAAATTGAAGAGTTCTTTTGATCTGCTATCAAAGAGTCTTTTTGTCTTGATAATTCTATTGTAATATAGTTAGTCATTTTTAATATGTCTTCTAAATAAAAAACATCAACATTAAAGGATTTTCCAGGTATACTAATTAACGGGCATTTGTTAAAATAATCAACAAAAATAGAAGGATCTATTGTAGCACTCATTAAAATAACTCGCAATGTCCTATACTTGGCAACTGCATCTTTTAAAGCAATTAGTAAAAAATCACAGAACCGATCACGTTCATGAATTTCATCAACAACTATATGTGTAATCATAGCTAAAGCAGAATCATCACCCATAAGGGTTCTTAATAAGACTCCATGAGTACAATATGTCAAAAGTGTTTTAGGTGCAACTCTACTTTCTAGTCTTATTTGATAACCAACAGTTTGACCAATTTTCTCATCTCTTTCAAAAGCTACTCTTTCTGCAACAGAAACTGCAGATAATCGCCGTGGTTGAGTGCAAATTATTCTACATGGTTGTTTTTTTTGTTGATAATCTTCTAAAATGAATTGAGGAATTTGAGTTGTTTTCCCACATCCTGTTTCACCAATTATGACTACACAAGAATTATTTTCAATCATGTCCAGTAATTCCTTCTTTTTGGATACTACAGTTAATGAATTACGAAAATTTAACACATCTGCGTTAGTTTTCAAGGATGGAACTTGTGGTATGCTATTGTTTAATCTGCCCATAGCTCTACAACAATTATTTACTAAAAATTTAAAAAAAAAAAATGATTAAAGAATCAAAATGAATTTATAGTGGATAATTAGTAAATAATATAATTTTTCAGTTTACCATCATGATCAATAGACCTTTCTCTTTCTATTGGCGGCAACAAGTCACGACGCTCTTTGTTGTCTAATGGAAATCTTTTGATCAAATTAAAAATTGTCTGTCTGGATACTTTTTGAAGTTTAATAGAGGCATCTTTCTGAACAATAGTTGAACCTTCTCTTTTGTATATGGTTAAAAATCTGTTTGCCCCACGACTATAAAATGAAAAGTAAACAATAAGATATTGTATGAGTCAGTTAAAAGTTATATGTACTTCTTACCCGCGACTTTTTGACTTCAAACCCACTTTTCTAGCTAGAGAATGAATGAACGCCCTTTCTTTTGCAGTATATGAAGATGGAAATTCAAATTCGTTATGATCTTTGTTTTCTAAAAATTTCTTGATAGTTAAATTGATAGATATTTTGGTATCTTCTCCCATTTTATCAGATTTTCGATGACACAACATTTTTAATTATATAATTAACTCTATATTTAATGAAAAATATAACTAACAAACTTATTGTAAGTTTTCTGTTCTTTTTCGTGATTGGAACAACAAATTACAAACGTCAAGTATCATTCACAGTTTACTTATACAAAAGATGTGTTAGTCATTTGTCAAATTTTATACATGTAAGTCAAGAGCTCCGCAGCTAATCTTTAATCTTATCTAAATCTAAATTCTAAAATATCTTAATTCTCAATAATTTAAGCACTTCGAGGTTATTGAAGTTTATCGTGCACATTAGCACTGAATCATCAACCTTTTAGGCTCTTTCTACATAAGTCTTTGTGTACTAAAGTAAAGACTAAGCTTGTGCACTGAAAGTATAAGCCTGAACTCTACGTCTAGGTAGCGCGACGTATCCTTCGAACATGGTAGAAAAATAAATTCATCCCTATAATAAATACTATTTATTACTTAGCGCGCTTCGCATTTTTAAGAATGTTTCAAGAAAATGATAGTGTACTTTCTTGGATAACAGCACTTTTAACACCAACAGTTTTATTTTAATTAAAATCATTTTTTTTATTTGCAAATCTATTTATATTACACGCTACATAAAATTATTCATTCACTGGGTAAAATAGACATAATCAATGTTTTACCCAGTGATTCCCTTATAAAAATTTCCAATAGGATCCCGCGAAATTCCTATTGGAAACCTATAGGACTCCTGTAGGAATTTCGCGAGATCCTATAGGAAATTTTTATAAGGGTTGCGAATAGACATCCTACGATTTCTTCGTTGCAGAGGTTTATGAATTGATCGTGTCTAAGCGACAAGAATCGATTATTTCTGAAAGATTTTTACAATCATTAATGAGTAAAGCTACTAAAAGTAAGCTACTTAATATAAATTCTGTAATTCAACCCGGTTATTTTATGGATCGTTGCATATCATTCAATTATTAAATTGACAGTATCACACGTTCATTCACTGGTTCAGCAGCATTCATTCATTGGTTCAGGCCATTCATTTACTGGTAACAAACGTTTTAAAATAATATTCGCTACATAAGGAAAAGCAATACCTCATTTTAGCTAATTTTAGAATATAAATAGGGGTTCCATTTGAGTCTGTACAGACCTTAAAATGACTTTGATAAAAAAACAGAAGACACACATTCAGCGTAAAATTTCCCGTTCTTTTCATTTCTGCAATAAAAAATGGGGATCACCGTACAAAAAATCAATTTTGATTCGCTGTAGCTAAAAGATTATGTTCAAGGTCAAATCCAAGGTTAACGTTGGATTTCTCGTCGAAAAATATCATGAATGTAGGGTTTTTGATTTTTTTGAAACGAAATCACTGCGATAAAAAACAATAAAATCGAAAAAAAATTGGGTTTCTTTTTTTTAACTTCTTACTACTTCATGAAAAATCTGAAAAAAATCACACATGTTTTTTGGATGCTCTGAACAAAATGTATTTTTTTCACGATTACGTCCAACTTCGACTTGTTTTTTTTTTATTTAAAAAATTTGAAATCGATATACAGGTTTGAAATTAGTGGCAAAAATTTTGAAAAAAAACTTTACGTAGCATGATATATATTAAAAACACTGAAATTTACGTTTGTATTTTATTTGAAGTTATGTTAGGTTCTAGGACTTTAAAATTTTACCCAAAGTTATATTTTTACATGTACTACATGTACCTAGGTATTTTTTTCATTTCAATTTGGTTGAGGGCAATTTTGACCATTTCACCCGTCTAGGCCCTTTTTAAATTTTCGACAATCCAACTCGTATACGGTATGAAATATCTGGAAATGCGATTACGACTTTAACTAACAATTTCATTAAATCCAGTTACAATTTTATCTGTGACTGTTTTGAATTCTGATGAAGCAAAAAAAATTCAAGTTGATTTCAAGTCAATCCCGGTTTAAAGTAATGATATCCGATATGATATCATTCAGGATAAAATGTGGGACTCCATAAAAGAAAATGTATACATATAATATTTTCATTTTTATTTAACCCTTTAACGCCCGAAATGACCATGAATTACACCGACTAAAAATTGTTTAAAAAACTTTTTAGACATCATTTCTTTCGTAAAATTTAATTTATTTTTCGAATCTGGGGTCAGAATTTACAAAAATTTATTATTAAAAAGTTATTAACAATTTTGTAAAAAATAACATGAAATTTCGAAAAAAAAACCTCGTTCAACTCAAATTTCAACGCAGAAAGAAGATTCGCTCGTGCGTCTCACCGCAAGCATGTAAATTTGGACAATGGCATGTATACTTTATTGTAAAATAGTTATAATTACGAAATTCAAGTTGGCGATCATAAATTTGACTCCCGAAGACCTGTATGTCATAAAATATATGATTTCTACAATTTTTAACTCGACAACCATCATTTTTACGAGAAAAAGTTGTAGAATAAAAGGTGTTTAGAATAAATTAAAGAACACGCCTGATTTTTTTCAGACTTTTTGGAACTATTTTTGGATTTTTAAATAACACGATTTTTTCAAACATCTAAAAATCGCTCAAAAAATTCTGAAAAAAACAAGCATGTTTTTTCATCAATTCTAAACACTTTTTGTTCTATGACTTTTTCTCGTAAAAATGATGGTTATGAGGTTTTTTTTCGAAATTTCATGTTATTTTTTACAAAGTTGTTAATAACTTTTTATGAAATAAATTTTTGAAAATTCTGACCCCAGATTCGAAAAGTACATTAAATTTTACGAAAGAAGTGATGTCTGAAAAGTTTTTTAAACAATCTTTAGTCGGTGTAATTCATTGCTATATATGTTGTCCAAAAATGGTCATTTCGGGCGTTAAAGGGTTGAATAAAAATCAAAATATTATATGTATAAATTTTTTTTATGGAGTCCCACATTTTATCCTGAATGATATCATTTCGGATATCATTCGGATATCATTACTTTAAACCGGAAATGATATTCCACTTAAAACACTTGAAATCCGAAGGTAATTCCACCCCAAAAGCTCGAAATTCGGTTTTACATCAGCTTTAAAAATGCTTAAATCAGCTTGAAATCAAGCTTGAAATCAAGCTATCATTTTTGACAGGGCGCGCACATAGGCAGTCCGACTTTGCTGTGTTTACGTTTGGAGGATGTTTCAGATCCAATCGCTTTTACTCTTGCCATTCAGGCGAAAACGAACGAAGTAAGGGCGAGTGTGAACCTTTTTCGAACACATATCGCTAACCTTTTTTTTCACCTAAGCCGAAGCTATTGAACGGAGTCACCGAAGCAGGATCTCGACTAGTCGACCGGCCTTCTAATCACGTATAGAAAACCACAGCGATGACAGCTGACCTCTAGGAGAGAGTCGAGGCACTATCGAGTCTCGCCTGAATAAATTCAGGCACCATCCACTACGGCGGTCATACGGGCCTTTACCCGGCTTCATAGAATTTCAACACCCCCATCGAGTAACGAGCTCCCCTCACGACCTCACCAAATTAACCGACTGCCGGAGCGCAGCCAATAACGAACGTTGCGCGCGTTCAACTCCAATTTATACGTGATCGGTACATAAAAAAACAATTAGGGTATGGTCTGTGCGCGAGCAGCGCACTGGAACGCGCTTCTGTAATACATTTAAGATTTAAATTGAAGATTATGTGCGACCCCAGAAATTAATAATATCAATGATACATTTTTCTTTCAATAATTTTAAATATTCAGGCAATAATAATTTTAAATGATTTATTTAACTGACGACTACAATCATACGGATGTTAGCTATTTATCCCTCAAAATTTCCATTCTCTACTTTATATTTGACACTTAGGAAATTTTTTTCGATCTGACCGCCACATCAAAAAACTAAAAAAAACTCGCTCAATAGGCTTGTCTTACAGAGTTCCGGTAAGTTTCAATAATATTAAAAAAAAAGAAAAAGAATCTTACTGCTAAAATAATTGTAGTCATTTTTAACTTTTTATGAGTTAAATTGATATTTTCGAAACGATCATAACTCATAGTAATAGGTAACATTAGGTATTATTTGCTTTTGATGAAGCATTTTTAAATTTTAAGCTTACATAAGTGGACATAAAAAAAACTGTACATTAATTCTATGAAACTAGTCATTCACTTTGTTGAATTTCAAGTTTTTTCATGAAATTTTTTACTATTTGTTGAAATAAGTATTAAAAATCTTTACATTTAAATTGAATTGTCAATTGATAGTTTGGTATATCCTCCAAAAACTGATACTCATTGCTAGAGCAGTAATAGTAGTATGTAAAATTCTTCGTCTTGTATCATCTTTTCGTACAAGAAAAGTTGGCGAAGAAGGACCCAAAACGGCTAAGACCTCAACATGAGGTAATTTACTTGTATCTGTTTCCACTTGATACTGACAGCAAGGGTCAAATTGCCATGAAACAGTGTATAAACCGCATGCTACAGCAGCAGAGAATCCAAAGGAACAACATACATATGGTCGATCATTCCATATGAATCCTAAAAAAATGAACAAATTCAATATGGAAAAAACAAAAAAAAAGAATAATAAAATATACCTGTTATAATTGATAAAATTCCTGATAGTGCTGACGTTTTGTGAAGGCAATTTCCTACTGAAATCCATCGAGAAGTTTCATCACCCAATTTAGATGGTTCTATGACTATCAACTGACATTCAGATTCTAATGCTTTTTCCAACTCGTATTCAAAATTTTCATGGGCATTCTCACCATCATAGACTTCACGAATGATAGCCACTTTTTTTGTGATTTCATTTCTGAAAAGTAATAAAATTTGAGCTCTTTATTTTGTAAGAAAATGATCAAAAATATTTGCAGGACAATATTTAAGCAGTGTTTGCTCTATATCAATTGATAAATGATGCCAAGACAATTTGAATTAATAAGTTACAATTTTATATTTATGTATGTAATTATTTATCAAAAATATTAGTGTTGATAATTAATTATTCCAATGCAATTAAAACATTTGATTGACAGTGAATTGCTTGACAACTATTTCACTTTTAAAAACTGAATGAAAATAGCATTAAAATGTTTTGCTTACAGAGGGCATATTTTGTAATAATTATTGTCCTCTAGTCTTTCAGATGAAATATTGTTGAAATAGATTTTTTTTAACAGCAAAACTGTCCATTTTATTTTGTATATTAACTTTTAATGTTATTTCTATATATACTTATACTATATATAAATTTTCCAAAGTACAATTTTAATCTTGAATTTCAAGTATAGTTTACATTCAACCCTCAGTTCAAACATATTTTTTGCTTCGTTATTGAAAAAAAATTTCTTGACTTTAGAAGTTAGATCAATTAGTGCAATAACCAACCAGACCTATTAAGCCCTAAATATTTTCTTTAGATTTTTTTGTTTACTTGTTTAAAAAATTGCACGCAACAACTTTTAAACTGACAAAGTCAAAGTCCATTTTTCCAATTTTCTTTTAAGAATCTTAACCAACAATCAAGAATGATCAAAAGTTCAATCTTCAGTCAACACATATATTATTATAATTATTGATAACGACTAACATATACTAATAAAAAATAAAAAGTTGTGGATGATTTACTCATCCTAATTGGTTTTGAAAAATACTATGTATAAAATGTATTTTTGGTAATTAGTTGAATGGTTAAAAAAAGTTTCTTTCAACAGGGCTCTACAAAGCTCTACATTTTAGTGGTTTAAAGTATTTAAAATTGTAGAAGGAACTTTTAACAAAATATCAAAATAGCAAAAATTACACATCTGAGACTTAAAATCCAATAATAAATTAAATAATGTTAAAATTGTGTACAATCATGAATGGTTATAACTTTCTTATTGATACAAATTGATCTGCATCTGAAAAAATGCAACCAACCTCTTATCTGATTCACTTAACATTCTTCTTATGTGATTGAAATATTAAAGTGTTGCCAATTCTGCAAATTCTGTCTTTAACGAACAATTATATAAATTTGAATTAAATGATTCAAAAACACTTCAATGTGGCAAATACTTATCATTATATTATTTGTTCATAAAAATTATAATAAATGTACAATGCCAATTAACTAAAATAAAATACCGATATATTTTAAGAAATATTATTTACAGATAATCATATAAATTACAATGTCACGAAAAATAACCGAAGACAAAAATACGACAGAAGGAAAGGTAACGAAGTCAACGGAATGCAAATGAGGTTCGCCACGACTCTTAGTGCTCACTTATAATACTTATAATAATATTTGATGAAATTTGAAATGCGTGTACAATACATTCAATTCACTTACAATGCTCTTTCAAAATACAATAATAAATTTATAAGCTTCATTTTAGTAAAATTTTGAGTAACATTTATAGGGGTCGTTTCAGTTAGGAAAATTTAGGTCCCACACTAACAATTCTGATGAATTTCATGTTTTCGTTTTTATTTCATGTGCAATGAAAAAATATTAAAATTATTACGTGTATTGAATAATCAAGTTCTGTACCTACATAAAGTAAAACTTATAATTCACTGATTACGGTATTTACTATAATTTTAACTATTTATGCAGAATAAAAAAATTATCTTATAATTATTATTTACTTTTACCATTACTATAACACTCATAATTACGCAATATTTATTACTTTGAAACCTTCTAATTCAATTAAAATCTTATTTTCAATTGATACGGATATAACACCTTTGTTGAAAACTTGGCCTAAATTTCCAGATAGGAATCTAGTCAGAACCTAAAGAATCTTCTCGATTTTTATAGATTTGTAGCTGTATTTTTTGATCAGATTTATTAATCAGATATTTTAGTGGATCTATTGATTTGATTTTTCAGGTAGATTTTTGTTTAAAATACCTTTGAAAAAATTTCCTGTAGGACCCCACGAAATTTTTCAAGGTTCACAAGTACACAAAAAAATAAGAAATGTTCAGTTCCAGAGACCGGACCCTGTGGATTTTTCCAGTTAAATAAAATTAGATGGATATCCACGTGGATCAGACATGGATATACCACAGGGATTAAATATATATTGTCCATGTTGGCAAACCTCGTGGATTAACGAAAGATCCGCGTTAATTTTCAATCAACCCACGAGGATTTTCGATCAATCCATGAGGTTTTTTCGTGGAATGATCCATCTACCGACCTACTCCTTCAAACGAAACATAACTTATATTCATATTGTAACATCTTGAAATAATAAGGGTCAACAATGAAATACAACTTATATGTATAAATATTTTATTTAGACCCGACGTACAAGTGTAGGTGTTAGCTCGCTGAGAGCTGAGCTGTATCTGCTTGATCAGCGTACATACTGTTAAGGATGGAATTGAATTGAATTGAATTGAATGTTTATTTGAAAACGGACCGTGGGGTAGAACCCCGTCTGGCCCAGTATGAAACAGTTTGTTACAAAGTTTACAGCATTCAGTTTTGAACAAATTTCAGTACTTAGTCAAAAATTATTTCAGTTGAGTACAGTGTAGAATAATTAATCTATATACATGATGACACTATTTCCATGATTAAATGGAAACAGTGAATGAGCGAACAGTGTTGAACGGTTTGCTCTCATAAGGAGGTAAAGGTAGGTTTACAATATGGTGTACACTTTTGCTGATACTATCTCCATGCATATTACGAGACCACGCTGCTGGAGAGAGGTTGACTGGAAGATTGAGATGATGCAGAGTTCTATGGTGAACCAGTTGGTGGTGAAATTACAGAGATACGTGGGCAGGAGGACGGTGGCAGAGTGGCGGCAAAGTTGTTCAAATCAGCTTCGGTGTTGACCATGGTGAGTGAATTGCTGTTTGCGCGACGCATGTAGATGCGCATGTTGCGAATGATGGGGTTAGGCAGATGATATTGTCCACGGAAAAGCCAGCATTTCCTCAGAAGCCGGTAACGCTCAGGCGGTAGAATAGGGGTAGCACTGAGTCGACCGTCACCAGCATCAGGCAGCGCAAAAATTTTTGAGATTGGTAGACGTTGAAATCGTGATGCAGCGGACACGAATGACTCACGCGCACCCGCTGAGGCAAAGCGCAGTGCACAAGCTATTGTATTCGGCGTTGATATTGGAGCAGTAGTGATGTTAGGCCTTGGCAGTGTTGGATCAGTGGATGGCACTCTTCGTTTAGGATTCCACTCACGCACCCGAATCACATGCGGCAGTAGTCGCTCCTCACCCAGGGCTGATAGTACGCTCTCAACGGTACTGATATCGTACGGGTTCAGTTGTGGTGGAAGGCCTGACAGACGAACTTCGCAATCGTCGCTGCAGTTAGCTGCCTCAGGAGTTGGAGCTGACACAATAGCAGCAGGTGCAGACCTCGCAGCTGAGGCGAGTTCTGTGAACTCCTCATGGAGTGTAGTAAGAGCACGTGCGTTTTCCTTCTGCTGGAGTTCCAGCTGACTTAATCCACCCGAGAGACGGTCATCAAGTTCTGCAATGTCCTTTGCATTACGGTCGATTGCTTCCTGTTGCTCGCGCAGAATCTGAGTAAAAATATCGAAACGTTTCTCGATACGGTCAAAACGAGCTGCCATCATCTGATCAAACTTAAGAAACCAATAAGGTGCATCGCACTCGGTCCCTTCGCTTTTTGCGTTCGACTCTCCTCCACTGAGATGAGACTGGGGCACGGTTTTGTAAGCCTTTGCAAGAATGTGCGGTGTCGATGAAAATTATGCGGTATTTGAGGTGTTGATCAAGGCAGTGTACTGTATGGACTGAGAGGTCGGGAAATAACTGCACTCGTTGATAATAATAATTAAAATAGTATAATTTAAGTGGCGAGAAAAAGAAACAATACAGCGAGCACACAGCTCGATCGAGAAATTCGAAGGTACTCCGAAAGCTGGTCGCCGCAAACGGCCCTGCGCGAGCTCCGCAATCTTCGGAGTCGCCTGCGTATCTGAGTCTCCAGCGTCTCAAGTCCTCACTCGCTCGTACACCACACGTATTCACCGCGATGCCGCAACGAGCGCTGCGATCGCCCAGACGCCCGCGACTCTCAACGCGTACATGCCATGACCGACTGTGCATTTTGTGGTTGATTTATAACAATACTTTAGTTCTAACTTAGGTTATAGGTGGCGCTAACATACAGGCTGTATCACATACCTTCTACAAAGGCCATAATAAAATCATCAGCGCGGATTTTGGAGAGGAAGACCGACCATCGACGCCATCGAGTACGTCACCGCTGCGGTCCTTGAGGCGTTGAGGTAGACTATCACCTAACTCAGCTCCTGACGGACCATGGCTTTTTCAAACACCACAGCCAACGCTACGACCGCAACGCTAGCGCAAATTGCCCAACCTGTTCCCACACGGTCAAAAACGTGGAAGCATATCTTCTTCGACTGTTCTCGATTTGAGGAGGGAAGAGAGAAGTTCCATCGCCAGCTTCAAGAAGTAGTGAGGCCTGAAAAAATTGTCCAGCTCATGCTAGCGGACAAAAAAACTGACTCGCGGTAGCCACCTTCGCTCACTCAGTCAAAAGAACAAAATGAAACTACATAGGCTCCTTTAGCTGAATGCTTGATCTTGGATTTCTACGACAGGTAGCTTAGATATGCGTATAGCTTGCGTTGAGGACCAATACCTTCATTATTATTGTACTCAATTGTTTCTAAATATCTAACTTGACAAAATACTTTCAAATAGGCTATTGAAAAAGGTTATCATTTGTGTTATTGAAATCGTTGGATTTTTTGTGTTTTTAGTTTCTAGTTTGATCTTTTGTTTTTATTATTGATTCATGTTTTTGGATTTTTTTAGTTCTTTTAAATTATTTAATTGTCTTTAATTAATTGACAAAGATGTTTCACATCTTCCAGCTGTTCATAAACAGCTGATTTATTTTTAATTTTTTTTTTGATAGGTATTTTTTATTTTTTATTGGAAATCACATTTTCAAAAAATGACTCGTACTTTAATTATTTTCTTCAACTTTCAATTGTAGTTTCAAAAGTACATTTTAATTAATTAAATTAGTGCATTGAGCAATTATTGTTCGTTGTATGTTAATATAACATGATAAAAATGTCGACTTCCCTTAAGAAGACACACACTCATAGACACGTATACATACATGCATTGATATCGGCCTCCTTGGCTCAGTGGGTATAGTTCTTGCCTGCTGATACAAGGTACGCCGTAGGGCGTGGGTTCGATCCCCACCGGACGAATTTTCGAGGTTCGTTTTTTCGCCTGGTGTGGTCAAGCCTGTGCCTGAGGTGGAGCGGGTACCACTCAAAAAGAAGACCCGGGCTATGTCATCAGCCTCCGAAGCGGTAAAAAACCCCGATCACTGTGCGAGCTGGAAGCGATAGGAAAACCATAAGTAGG